CTTTAAGAGAGTATAATGATCAACTTCTATGAGATTTTCTTTTCATGATGAAATAAAAAAATGTCATTAAAATTACATAAAATTAGGATTCAGACCAAATATTACTGTATTATCGTAAATAATAAGACAAATTAAGGCATTTCTCTGGTTCTGTTTATGATATCAGAATGATCCAGGTATCAAATGTAGCTTTTAAAGCAGAAATCTGAAAATATAATTAGGTCATTTTGATGTGATGGCTGACATATATGACAGAAACAGAACCACAGTRAAATATTTGACTGGTCCTGAGCAGTGTGTCTTCTACACGCAGTGTGTTGTGTTCATATTTACCAGCCGCTCACTCCTCCCAAGGCAATCTGAGTGGCTACAGAGTATTTCTCTGCTACAGGACCCGAGCTCTTCCCGAACAGGCGGTCCCACCATCGCTGCCGTTTGGCGTATTCTGTCAGGTCCAGAACCTTGTCGTAGATCTCCTCTTCTACATCTTAATGAGGAAAACACAAGGTCAGCAACGACTGGCTCACATATAAACCTGAGTCTCTACAGTCACTGTAACTAAACTAACAAAGCTCATTAAACAACAGACATCCAGTATTTAATAACACACTGCAGAGGTAAAAACAGGTTAATTAAATAACAGTTAGCTACAGTGAGTGGAGTAAAGTTGTCGGGCCTGCTCTTAGTTAGCATCGGAAGCTAACAGCGGAAACACAACGTAAACAATCAACGATTTAAGAGTTACAATAAATACTGTCTATTGTTTAAGTTATATTTTTAAAATATGACTCATGTTTGGCTCCGACAGAAATAAATGTCTTCAGACTTGTTACCCTTGTTGCGGCTCGCCATGTCGGACCGGAAGGTCTACCCTCACATGAACTTAGAGCTGTGCGGATCGATACTGAAATATCGATACTACCACTACGTAACTTTATGTTCTAGAATCGATACTAAAAACATAAATATCGAGACTTTGATACTTTAGTTATTTCACATAATGTTTATCATTAACAGCTAAATAACTAAACTATTCAAATCATGTCTAAATCTTATGTGGTTGGAGGAACTACTTTTTCTTCCGCTTGAGTGGCCTGTGCTCCGTCAGTCACTCAGTCTGTACAGGTATGGCAGGTCATTTTAACATAAAATCTGTTTCGTCTGACTGTCTCTACAATTAGATTCTAGATGAGGAGTTCCCAAACCTTTTCATGCCATGGCCCCACAAACATTAGCTCCGGACAGGGACCTTCTTACAAACACACAAACATTGCTACAAAATATACAAAGTAACAATTTTTAGAATACTTTTTCTCACTTTTATTCACGATTCAAACATGTTTTTATTTCTTTAGACTAAGAATTTAAAATTGTGCTAAACAAATGTAGGGTTAGAAAGATTTTTAAATTAAATAAATTACTATGTCATGTATTATTTATAAAGAGGTACTTTTTAAGATTTAACAGACACATTGGGCCTCATGCAAGAACATGTTCGTATTCTTCTCCTAAATTTCTCTTACTTTTGTTCGTACAAAGGGTTCGTACGAACATGTCACGTCAGATTCAACAAACTCTTCAGGAAAAGTGTGTAAATGAGCTGCGTAAATTCACCTGTTCGTATCC